GAAATTCAAAATGCGCTGGTTTCCAAACGAAGGACGCTATTGAGCTGGAAAATTGTAAACAGACATAAATTTAGCACTTTTATGCCTGATGAGGATAAAACCTTTGGGGGCTCTTTAGTTTTGAATTTGAGAATTTGATGACGTCACGTGAACACACTCTATTGTGAGCATGTAATTGGTCAGCGTTTGGTTTCGTTATTTTTTCCAGTTACCAATTAAATTTAAGAAACTATACCCAATAAGCGTAATCAAGATTTTAGAAATTACCTACGCAATGTATCAGGGACTTTCAAAGTGACGATTTTTCAATTAAATTATTATTATTATTATTATTTAATATTATTATTATCGTCATTATTTTTATTGAGGGATATGTCAGAAGGAAAGTCACCAACGCGCAAGGGGTCAATTTGCAACGAAAGTTTGCCCTTGCACATACTCCCTCCTTCTCCCCCAGAGTAATAACCTGACTTGAACCTGGGATCCAGGGGAAAATCGGTACCTGGTCAGCGGTCAACTTCAAAGATCGCTTTTTTGGACACTCTGGTTACTCGCGAGGATAATGCTCGCATTATTGACGTATACCGAAAACCTACCCCACTGATAGATGTTTGGATTTCTTCCACCCACCATGACAAACAACACAATATCAGTTTAGCTATATATGTTATTGGCCGGTTGGGAGGTCCATATAGTGAAAAACTTTGATCTTGAAGCTTGAAAATTCTGGCCTCGGCCTGCGGCCTGCGGCCTCGGGCAACATTTTCAAGCCCGAAGTCACTGTTTTTCACTACACGTACTGACCCTAAGCCGCTAACAACATGTTTATTTTTTTTTCTTGCGGTAATTTGGCTCACAACTTTGTCACTGAATTAGCTTACGTGCCGTCTATGAACCATTCATTAAAAAATCTAACAAGCGAACGAGCGAGTAACTCAGACACTAGACAAAGAAAGATGTATTAAAGAAGAGATTTATTTCAAACTACTTTACGTTAGTTGCATTTAGTTCACCAGTTAAGTTCTCCAAAAATGTTTTTCAGGTGTAAAATTTCCTGCAAAGTTTGAATTTATAATATAAAAAAATTTCTGTTAGTCGTTGCAAATTACTCGAAATCAGACTTTTCTATCGTAAATTGAGTAGCAGACAGCGAGGAAATTTGTTAAGTGTACTCCACAGAAATTCTCTCAAATAAAGCAACGAGCAGAGAGGTAAACTCGACTGAAATTGACTCATTTTGTTGCTTGAAATTGTATATATAGGGAGAGAGACACAGGATTACGCGCCATTACAGCGCCGCGCTCCAAACTGCCAAACAAACTCTCACAACTTCAAAAAACTCAATTGAATTTACTTACTGTGACTTTCCGTGCCATTAAAGGTTACTTCCCACCTTCGCGGGTGTCCTTCGGGAAAAAATTCGTACGCGCGCCGGTTTCAATAAAACGCCAACAAACTCTGTATCACAAAGCTGGTGTAGTTTACGATAAAAATACAATTTAAGCGATTTTTTCTTTCAGGAAGTGTCAGGAGCTGGTAAGGCGTGAAACGACCGAGGGTTCTTCTATTGAATTTATCGGCGATCGGAAGCCACTCGAGCAAAATGGCT